GACTCATTAGCCAGTCATGGCATGGTGGCGCTGGGAAGTGACCAGTCGTGGACAGTAAAACAGTCGTGGATGTGCAGATGCCGCAAGACACGTGTGTCCATATATGTTGCTCTGTTTTTAGGTGGCGAACTATGGAGGTTGACCAGCCTTTAACCCACAGCCACGTGAAGATGAGAGTCTCTTGAGGAGCACAGCAAACAGACGGGATTGAAAGGATGGTTTCATCCCACTCCTGATGCGTGCTGGATCATCTACATGTTTTTGCTCGCGGGTCAACAACCACGCTAGTAGTCGTGCATGTCTTATCAAAGCACGACAACGTTGTCCCATGTTGTCACACTTGGCATCAAATTTGGCACCTTTGCATGTTCACTGTAAATGATAGCAATTTTGCTACGTATCTTTCTTACTGTACTTGTTGACAGTTGCTCTTTTACGCGTTTGGACTTGGACTGCAATTCCCTTGCCATTGTGTTTTCCCTAATTTGTTGTTCTCGTCTATGGTACGATCATTCGATGGTTCATGTTTAGAAATCAACGGACTTAGGGGAGCCTCCACATTGATTTTCCTTTTGAGATTATATATAGCATGGAGTGCGCTTTTGTATGCTATCGGGGAATGACATTGGGTTTCGATGCGCCACATATATTTATGGTGCTCTTTTCGTTGAACAACATTAACAAAAACAGCTGCTCCGACACATGCTCGGAAACACAGGTTTTGAGTATAGTTTCTTCAAAAGACTGATCCAAGTTGACAACCCAAAAACACACAAATGCCAGTGCAGTGGTCAACCCGGCGAGATGTCTTTGTTGGTTCTTGATCTATACTGTATGCTTTTGTCTGGACTGTTTGCTGTGTTAAGACTCCCGACTCGTTCGAGCCTGCAGCGAACCGTTGAGAGACAAAGCTTTGGATCTTTGGATAACCTGCTTAGCTTTCTGAGTCTATCCCTGGGTGGCTGATTCCGCAATGGATACCACTTGAGCTTGATAGGCAGATCCAAGATCCCCCGCAAGGTTCGTCTCCAACTTACACTATCTGCAGAGCAACTTTCTGCCCGATGAAAGGCCACTTTCTGCGCGGTTTTCCTCTCATGAGTTGGACTCCAGGTCGCGAGGTGGTGGGGAAGAAGAAGGCTCCAAAAGAATATATCTAGCGGAATTTCATAGCGACTTTCATGAATTGATCGACATGATCGAATCTTCTTCCAAAGGATGGATTGTACTTGGTTTGGAATCTTGCCTCGGACACGCCTCGCACGAAGGCTGCTTATAGCCTGTACCACCGTACACAGCTACTCCAGAATGCTTGGTCCTCCAGAGTCCCTCCAATATCACTCCAATATCCAAAACTTCTATCAGGCCCGAGTAGTTCACCTACAGTCTTAAATTTTAAAGGATCCTGGAAGAGGATCCGCCAACACACTGTTGAACTCACAGTGGACTTACACCGAATCTGGAGTTCAAACGGCTAATCTCTGAAACATGCTACTCATGCGTCATGTCTTCCACATGCCACGAAAATTCACTTCAGCACTTATGTCAATTACATTCGAATACAATCACTTCAAAACACCTTCTGCACCCAAATCGCCAAATAGCAAATCCACCAAGCGCGACGAGGCTCGGTGCTGTGGGTCAGCTCCCATTCATCCAGCCTCGCTGGATAAAGCTGGATAGAAACACATTCCGATGGATCGTCCATCGTCTGGCGCTTCTTTGTGGTCTTGTGGTCCAAACATTCCTTTGTTTCTGACATTTACAGTAATGCTATAATACTCCGTACTTTCCATATAGATGGAAATGGAATAAAATACAAATCTTAAACACAATAGATGGACGGTTGATGTTTGAAGATCTCCGGAATATATATATATATATATGTGCCTACCTTCCGTGTAGATTACAGTAGATGGATTAGAGAGTCCACCATCATACTACAATTTGCCACGTTCACCCTATAGGGTGCAACCACCACCCTGCCCACCCTCCCCTCAAAAAAGAAACACTTTGGGTGAGGTCTTTCAGGGTGGCATGTTCAGTGACCATTTTGTGTTTCTGTAATGCCTCCCTCCACTGTTTAAAAGGTCCATGTGCATGTTGGACCTTTCGATTGAACTTCGTTGGACCTTATCAGACGATCCGTCAGTCTTTCATCTGAAACCATCCAACCATATGTAGAAACGATGTGAAGGTCTTCGGAAAATATGTGGAATTCTGTGGATCCCTTTCACCTTCTTTCACCTTTTCTTTTTTAGCTCTTCCCTGACCCACGAGCCGCACCGCGCCCGAGCTTGGACCCGTCAACGGTCAGAGCGGGCGGTTGAAGGCATCATCCACCTGGCCGAGAGCAATGAGACATAGGAAATGTTGTCTCAATCAGGAAAAACACAACCATCACAAACATGCATAGAGTAGAACCTGGTTGAAGCCATGCATCATTCTGAAGACTCATACTTCCGTAACAGAAAAAAGTGGCTCTTGAAGGATTCTCAACCACTTTCAACCATTTGGTTGGGGTATGTTGGGGTGCTTGGGGCAGTTTAGTGTTTGTTTGGGGGGTTGCATGCAGAACTTTTGAGGAGAGCCGAAACCTGGTAATATGCGTAGTTCAAATGCATCACAAGTGACATGGATGTGGTGGTTGATCAAAATTCCCTCTTACTGACGCACATTCTGACAAAGGCTTAGAAACCCAATCTTTCTTCGCAGGCGGACTTCCCACAAATGATCCAAGAAGCTACAGTACTAGGAGCAAGAGCATCGCTACTAGTAACAAAGGGTAGCATTCTTGCTAATAGTAACAAGAAACTACAAGGGGCTCCTGGCCTTACTACTAGGAGCAAGGACACTATTAGGGGCTCCTGGCATTACTACTAGTAGCATTCTTGCTACTAGTAGCAAGAAGCATTGTGTTCATGTCAGATGGGTGAACCAAAGCTCATATAGTGATCCCCCACAGAATGAGACGCCTCTTTCTCTCAAACGTTTAAACGTGTGTGCGCTGATGGCCGGCGATGGCCGTTTGATGCCTCCGGTCGGTTCGACCGGTGAAGCACCCGCATGGGACACGGTGACCTCATGTATTTGGTCTTAATGGTCATGTGTCCCATCGACTGTGTCATCCAAATCATTGGCGTGGGGAGGGTTGTTCCATAGTTCACAGTAGATGGGACAACCTCGCCCCCACCATGGACTCTGTTTTGATGGGGATCCATGCAGTGCCTAGTCGGGGCTCTGAACCCATCGTGATTAAAGGTCAATGACACACTGAGACTGGATACCTGTCTCCACGCGTCTGCATGCTTTTGTGTTTGTTTGTTTGTTTTGATTTGTTTAACGGATTTTCCCTCACAGCAACGACACCAGCAACAACAATAGCAGCATCGGGAATGACATGATGACAGCAGTACCAGCAGTGACAACAATACACAACGATCAAGGCCAACCCCGAAGCTTCAATACATTCATGATGCAAAAACCCAAGTCGACACACTGATGCCCTCCAAACACGTCGAAAACGACCGGTCTGCTGCCCGAGTCCCCGTCTGCTCGCGAGAGTGACACAGTGACGGGTGACCCGACGAAAGGAATTTGGACCAAATCAGCTTCGCTCCGCGGCCCTTCTCCGCGACCTCGACGCGGTCTCGTGACGAGTGACGGACGCCCGTTCTGAACGCAAGGAAAGCACGTGTGAAGCAACAAGCATGGGCATGTCATGAAGCGTGCAACACAACAATCAAGGAGTGATGATATGAGTGATGTATATACACCCTTCTGACCCCCCTCAGCTTCCCTGGAACAACAAAGGCTGACCTTTTTCCCCCTATTCTAGTTAGTTTAGTGGGGCAACCAATCCCCAAAAAAGGTCAAAGGTTATCCACGCAAGGAAGCTGGTCAAGAGCCCGGAAATAACGGACATAGGCATGGCATCGCAGGAACAGGTTTACAAAGCATTCAAAACCCGTTGAATTGGGGGAGCAACTGCTAGCCCCATGGGTTCGTCCGACCTGTCGACACTTTTCAATCGGGTCCGATGCCCAAGGTGGATGCGGATGCTGCAGTTGGAGTTGTACCGTCCCCAAGCCAGGTCCCTAGGTCCCTACCCCTTTCCAAAAAGAACATCTAGATGCCACGGTCCGTCTGGTCATCTCCACCTGCCATCACCGGACCTTTTTACTCCCGGATGAAGCGCAGTATTGGGTCCAAGTATTCCTTGGTGATCGGAAACCAAGAGCATGGAGTCATAAGGTTGGATGCCAAGTGTGTGGGTGGTTTCTGGGGCGATTTCCCTGTCGATCTGTTTCTCTAGACATGATGTGTTGATTCAGTGCACTCCTCCGGCGCCAAAATCGTCCCCAAATCCATGGACACAGGCCGGCCACCTCTCACCCATGGCCACATCGCCAGGGTCTAGACCTGGTGGTTATCTTGATTAGGGCCGCGCTTGAGGAAGGTGCAAAAACGACAAAACATGCAGGTTCACTCTGTGGCATCCTGATCACAACAAGGTCACTAAGCTGCAAAACAGGTCTTGCAGTACACACTCAATAATCACATTCTTTCTGCTATATATATATATATGAGCGGCGGCATTTATTTGATACTAAACTCAAATAATATCTAGTATGTGAGGGCCCTATACCATTTAACCTACTTCAGTAGAAGGTTATGTCACGGTATCTCGCTCAGACGACTTTAGTACTTACTTTAGTGTCATTGGAAAATATATCGTTTATGTGGGGGCCCTATCTCGTTTATCAGTGAGTACTGATGTTGGACACAAATAGAGAATGCAGCATGAGAATGCTGTAGACTACTTTAGTCAAGACCAAATCAAAGTGGTTACTCATAATATGAGAACTTCTTTCCGAGCCCTCCGTGTCTGTTCTACGTCTCTTTCTCTTTTGGGGCAACTGGTTCCGTGTCTCTTTCCTCCGATCGTTTTCGGCACTGCCGTGGTATCTCACGGATATCAACCGTCGGGTAGTTCAGGCTCAGCTCAGGGTTTCACAAAATGAGTGTATAGTATCCTGAACTGGTGACCAAGCAGCCTGAAGGATACGATGCCCACCGGAGTCCGCGGAATGAAAGGTTAGTTGAGGGCAATTCTCCTGGTAGACCTTTGCACCTGAAAACCAGGTGATCCAATCATCTTTGGCCCAAAGCAGCAGCACTGGCATAGTCAGCTCCTGGTTTGAAACAGGCGTCTTTGCACAGGGGCTCTGGTTCATCGGCTGATTTGGGGCGAGATCACCCAGATCCATTTACAAAGCTACAATCCACCAGGGAATCAACCCTCAAGCTGACACTCAGTCTAGCTATGAGAAATGATGCTTTGTGACTATCGAAGGAGTAACTCCATGCAACGGGTGCCTACTGGGCCTCCTGGTCTAAAAGACCATCCAAACTGGGATGTGATGAAGGTGATATAAACACATGCTTCAGGTGCTGAGGCCAAAGCCCCATCAAGCGGCTCGGGCGGATTGACGACCCGTTGGCTTCGCCCACGACCACTCACAGGCCTGTGCGACCATTGGCTTCGCCTGTGCAGGACACGCCAGCACCAACTTCTGCACCAATTGAGGATGCTTCGAGGCAAAGGCAGCGGCCACTGCGCCACCGTAACTCTTGCCCATGAGGATCACCGGACCATTTCTGGGGCGCGGGATCTAACTGGATCAGGCAATTTGGCTGGATTCACTCCGCAAGGATGTATGAACAATCCTTGGGTGGACATGGACTAGCTGCTAATCCGTTCTATGATGTTTCTGTTGGCAAACGATCTCTGGTAGAGTAAAAAACGGAAAATCAAATGATGTCCCTCAGATTGTTGCAGCCTTCACCCGATTTGTACATGTCTCAAAACACTCAAACAGTTCAGGGGATCGTTGAAAGCAAAACCTGCAATCAGGCAGTTGTTTCTTCGGTCGGGCGAGATTCACAGCAAAAACTCCTACACGTGCCCGGCTTGGCATGCTCCGAGTGTACGTAATGGCTATGACCTCAAGTGCCTTTGAACAAAGTATCAAGCTGGATGTCTATTAAGCACACGAAGCAAAGTGGCTGCCTTTTGTCTTGAGATTTTTTGAGTGCATCGTTGGGAACCGCAATGGCAGTGTGTTGCGCTCTCCAAGCATCTCCTGTGTGATCAACTGCTCCAAGACCGGCTCGATCCTTTGGCTACAGCTGTTGCGATGGATATGGTGGGAAAGGCAACTGTTTGAATTTGTACAGTTTGTACCCACTGAGCATTGGCATTGTGCCCAAGCACCTTCGACTTTGAGGTCAAACACGTCATTCTGAGTCATTATCTTGGTTACTTTGGATGGTCCAAGTAGTAGCTGATTGAAATCAATGTAAGGGTAATTAGTTCAGGGGAAGACATGTACAGCAAAACTCCACATGAACATCGTCCGCATTTGCATAAGGCTGAGGCACTGGGTGAGGCTGCTCCAAAGTTCGAACAAACCCTCTCAATGTCAATGCGTGTCAAAAAAATACCTTGAAAATGCTATGCAAGTCGGCCTTGCTCTTACAGTGACAAAAAACATCTTGTCACATGAGTGTTTGGGGCAAACACCTTCATACAGAAACGAAACATGATTAACAGATTGTATGTCACAGCCGATGAGGTGCGACATGTTTTGACCCACTGCCGTGTCAAAGCCACCGCGAACCAACCGTCCCGCCGTGAGTCGCTGTGGTGCGCAGCAAGCTCGGGGCAGTTGCAGGGTTCGAGTGGAGGTTTGGCAGGAGGACGCGGAAGCCCACCTCGGCAAGAAAGAAGTGAAGCAATGTCCCACCTCGTTAAGCAATCCCATTCATGAAACTGGAATAAACTCGTCCCAAAATCCAATCCCAAACGATGGAAGACTATGCCAGTCCCATGGATGGGACTGGGAATGTGTTGAGCCTTTTCTGATTTTGCTTCGCAAGTATAATAGACGACTTGCCTGTTCCCCTGAATCCTATAATCATTTCAACGGTTTAAGGGAAGAAACCAATAACTCTTCTGGGGCATGGGGTACAGAAAGAATATGCATTGCATATCAGGGGCGCGACGGTGCGATCATTGACTTTGACTTGCAAACCAAAGAACAATTAAGGAAGACGTCTGGATTATTGTGAGAACCTCTATAAGGATTTGGATCACTCATCATGATGTTTGAAACAACCTTTTTGCTGTTTGCTCAAATTTAGCACGAACAAGGTCGGCTTCTTTGACATGTCCTCAAATGCCCTGAACTCCTTGTTCTGATAACCAAACCAAACGCGAAGCCTCCAATCAAAGTGATGTGTCTCATTGGGAGTGGCCCTAATATCCCTGACGAAAGAGTGCAATTCGAGTACATGAATTCCATTGGAGGCTCCTCTCATACTGAGATCCGAAAAAGCCTAAGCTTCTTCCACGCTCCCTAAGGACTGGTTATGGACTCCTCGCCTTGACACAGGCTTCAGCACATGTGTCCCACTCCCGGATAATGAACTCCGCCGAGGACAGTCCTGCGAGCCCGCGTCGGTGGGATCCAAATCCCATCTCTTCCACTTCGTCTACACTCTGTCGGACTCTTTCGCAACGGACTCTTCGAACATAACCAGCGGTCGTGGGGCGGTTGTTCGCTGTCGGCAAGTCTACACTCCCTGAAACAGAAGTGGCACAGTTCGGCCCCTGGCAAATCATCTACAAGTGGAGCCTGCTCAGCTTCCATGGGTTGTCTGAAGTAGGGTAAGTGGTGCTCCCCTGCCCCTCCAAACGGAGCGGTTCAAACAAACTCCAGGGCTGTCCACAGTGTTGTTTTCTCCCTGCTTGGTCATCTGCTTTGAAATCCCCAGTCAATATGCATGAAATCGACTCACCCTAAGGATGAAACTTGTGATGGAACATCAAAGAGGGTGCAAACTAAATGCACCTTTGACTCAAGACCCTTGACCCCATCCCCAAATACCTTCCCAGGATTTCTGGTGGAGGAGTTGCGTGACAAGCAATGTATGATCATCGCACGCTTGTGTATTTGAAGAGCTTGGTGCGCAAGATCCACCACATCGATCGACGAAACCAGAGTCAACAACACAAACAACTGTTGGACGTTGGATCGATGCAAGCGAACAAAGCACCGCGCAAGCGCGCCACTGTAAAGGCAAACATCCCAATTCACACTCCCAAACAAGCAAAATCAGAAGTGCAACATTGGAAGACCACTTGGTTCTCTTCACCAGCATCTTCCCACTTCCGTCTCCAGCTTCCGAGCCACTCCAGCGATTTCACGACCCACCGTTTCACCGTTCCCCCTTCGTGAAAACACGACCGCTCCACCCCCGCTCCGTGCAAGGCCACGATCGTTCTTCCATCTGCAGGGCCAAAGGATTGAATCCTCCTCGCTGGACGGGGGCATCCGCTTGTGAAAAGGAAGACTCACATGTCCTTTCATATCATCTTTCAGCTTGCGGTTGAACCAACTTTGAGTTCACCACACAGTCACACCAAACTTCCCTCCATTGGGTCACTCGCAACCCACCAGGTACCACATAGTTCTTAAAGACTAGCACTACTTTAGAGCGCTGTTGGTTTAATACGTTTAATACCAATGGTGTCATGCGCTGCAGCCCACACAGAAACACTTCACCAGTTGTTCGGACGTGTCCAGTGAGTCCAGTGCTTTGTGACACTTCCCAAGGCCCCAGAGGATCCAAACCACTTCCCTCACAGCAAGAAGCTACGAACGTAAGAAGTGCATCGCTACAAGTAACAAGGTGCCTTGCTACTAAGTAGCAAAAAACTTCTATAGTAGCAAGGCAAAAGTAAAAAAACAAACACAACAAACAAAAAAAAGGAGGATGTCAAGGGACCCTGCAAGGAAAAACGCCGTTAAGAAGTGCAAACGTCCTAATACCTTTAAGGAGCCAAACGACCCTTTCAAGTATACGTCCTAAACAACACCTTTATCCGGGAGGTCGTTGGGCTCCATGCAGTACCTTTCACCGCTGTCCACACCACGTTGAAACGAAGCTTCAGCGCTCCGCTCTCATTCTGCCAAATGATGCTGGACCCCCGGCGCGAATCAGCATTGACCGCGGGCAGCGCCGAAGGTGTGGTACCCATGGGGTTTGAGGCTGAGGAGAAGAAGAACATAGAAGAAATAGAAAAGAAACATAACAATCATCATACCAGGGCCCTCCAAGGGGTGCCCTGTCTGGAAGCCTATAGGTAGTGTGGGGTAGTTCATTGGACACCCCGACAGGAGGGTCCTGACGGTCCTGGTAGATGTTTTATGACTTTGTGTCTTTTTGTGCTGTTTGTTGACTATTTGGGCTGCCAAGCATCTGAAGGCTTTGGCCCTGCGGGCCCTAAGCATCTGAACGAATAGTCCAAAACCAAGGGGGCTCCAGGCGTACCGCTCCAGGCGTACCAAGAGTATTCGTGCGGTGATGAGACTTTCCAAACTTGTTTCTTGGTGAAGTAACCAAGGAATTCGGACACCACCCTCAATACCAGACCTTGTTGATTTCTCGTCTTAGACTTCGTCCAGCCATCTTGGCTCAACTATTGAGGCGAAATATGGCTGCGGGCATGAGAAGCCACCCTCCACTTGCCTCAATACCAAACATGCACCACAGCTTGACCCAAACATCTCTTGAACATCTCCTAGTTGACAAATCCTGTGTTGTCTGAACTCCGAAATGCAAACAAAAGCAGACCGCAGATTCAATTGAATCATGCTTATATTGACAGCCATGCATGTGCCGTAAGACATGACTCAACATCTCCTGCACCGGAAGGACAAACACACCAGCTCGTCACCGTGCACCATCTGGGCGAGCCCGGCCATTTGCGCAGAGCCATCGAAAAGCAGCGATTTAAACCTGGGCGAAACAGGTGGCACTGACCCGGACAACGGAGATTCACATGTGTGTGTGTGTGTTTCTTCTTTGGGGCACATCATCACAAATGCAAAGTCTTGACCTTCAATGGATCGCTGATCTGATCGCTGATCTGAAGGCGGTCAGGGTTGATTGTTTTGGCCACTGTTATAAGTTATATATAACTGTGAAGATCTCCATCCTGGGAGGTGAATAGTATTCATCCTGAATTGACTGTGAGCGGATGCTTATCAGCTGAACAACACTTTCCCAAAAAATTGTCAACCTTTCTCTATCTGTTCATGTTTGGTGCGAGAACCACTGCCCCAAGAGTTTTAAGGCTAACCATTGAAAGCATCTCGTCAACGCCGTCACCCACACTGCTCATGCTGGAAGGTAAGCCGGGGCATCCGGCGAATTGAAGGAAATGTATTGCGTGTGGTCCTGGAGTTGCACGTGAGATCATTGCAAACGAATTATGCCAGCATAGGCCTCAAATAGTTTCAGCATCGTTGCCAATGTTTTGGGTCGGTCTATCCCACTACCGGTAACAGTTGATGATGATGGTTAATCAAGGCCTAAGGCCTTGTCCAAAAAATATTATAATTGTTTTACTGTTACAGGTAATAGGACAGACCCAACCAATGTTGATGGTAACATTGTATTGGAAATGGCGTGGTATGTTAGAAAGCAACAATAGTTCCTGATTCCCGAGGTCACATGTGTAAACACGAAGGGATGATTCATATGAGTCGTCGTGAGAACAACCTATAGGATGATATCAAACGCTGCATCGCATTCATAGCCGCACCGAAAAAGATACCCGGACAAGGCGGTGATAAAGGGCCGACAGCGCGGACCAGCAGGACAGACCCGGACAAGGCCTGGACAAAGCTCCAGGTGGAGAAGAAAGGCTCACGGCACTGGCGCGTCCAACAGACCTGGACGAGGACAACGGAGGGCCTACGGCGTGGCCAAGCCGGACACAGACCCAAACAGGCCCACTAAACTGTTTGGGGAAAGAAGGGGAGGACACAGTGCAGCCAGAGGGCAGGGCAGCAAGAGAACACCAAGAGGACAAAACGGACACAGGATCCGCGAGCGCCAGAGGACCAGAAGAGGACAGCGTCTTCTTTACTAAGAGAGAACCCCGCCAGTAAACTGTTTGGGGAATGAAAACCAATCCTTTGCTTTTCTCTTGCAGAACAATGATGCGAGAGGACCCAAGTGGGCACAGTGAATACAGTTTTAGAAGCCTCCCGATGGATCCGAACGAAGCCTGACCCTTCAATCACGCTCGTGTAAATCGGCTCGATACCACGGGTCCAACCCCCACCAATCACCTGTACCAGGGTCCCAGTTTGGACTGGCAATGATGCCCAATTCTCGCTTCTATGGACTTCTAGTACAAGTATATACTTTTTTTGTAGGTGACCGGTGACCGGGCCGGAGACCAGACCGGAGACCGGACCGTGACCGGGCCGGTGACCGGACCGGTGACCGGGCCGGGACCGGGCCGGGCCGTTGACCGGACCGGCGGGCCGGAGACCGGGCGGGAGACCGGAAAGGAGACCGGAACGGAGACGGACCAGTGACCGGGCCGGAGACCGGTGACCGGGCCGGGGACCGGACCCGTGACCAACCGGGCCGAAGACGGGCGACCGGGCCGGTGTGACCGGACCGGACCGGTGACAAGACCGATGAACGGTCCGGTGACGGGTGACCTTGGGCGGTGACCGGTGACTGACCGTGGCCGGCGGCGAGCGACCCGCGTCACCGGTGGCAGGCCCGTGAGCGGTGGCCAGTGGCGGGTGACCGCTGACCGGTCGACCTTGGGATCGGGGAGCATTGCTGGATGCTGGGGCTGTTGGCGCCGGTTGTCGGGCCGGGGGCGGTCACCACCAAACGTCCACATGCACAAGGCTAGCAGCTATCTTGGGAACAAGTCGTATGTATGTGTTTCTTCTTCATGCACCCATTAACATGGGGACAGGACACACAGCAGCACAGCCAATGCATGGGAAACAAAGATGTGTGGGCAATGCAGTGGAAAAATTTAGACAAGGAAGTGGCCCTTCCAACTTCACTCACCCTTTTGTGGGCCATGCAGGGGTAAAATTTAGAGAAGGATGTTGCCCAAGTTGACTCACCCTTTGGTGGGCCATGCAGGAGTAAAATTTAGAAAAGGAGGTTGCCATTTCAACTTGACTTACCCCTTTGTCACCCTTTTGTGGGCAATGCAGGGGTAAAATTTAAAGAAGGATGTTGCCATTTCAACTTGACTCACCCTTCTGTGGGCAAGGCAGTGGTAAAATTTAAAGAAGGAAGTGGCCCTTCCAACTTGACTCACCCTTTTGTGGGCCATGCAGGGGTGGAAATTTAGAGAAGGATGTTGCCCTTCCAAGTTGAGTCACCCTTTGGTGGGCCATGTAGGGGTAAAATTTAGAGAGGGATGTTGCCATTTCAACTTGACTCACCCCTTTGTGTGGGCAATGCAGGGGTAAAATTTAGAGAAGGAAGCGGTCATTCCAACTTGACTCACCCTTTTGTGGGCAACGCAGGGGTAAAATTTCAAGAAGGATCTTGGCTGGCCTTTGCTTCCTACCTAAAGGTTTAACCTTTTGTGGGCTTGGGGTTCCTATAAAAGCTTAGCGCAACCTAACTTCAGAAGAAAAAACACCTCCACTCTCCCACACTCCTCACCCCCAGACTCTGAAAGTCACCTTGACGCGTCCCGTTCAAGGCAACCTTTGTCCAAAGGCGGAAGATTGTCCACAGGGCCTTGCCCTTGCGCAAATAACAGCAAACCTCCAATTCTGATTGAAAGTGGCTTGCGACTGGCACGCCCGCTTCTTCCAAAAACATAAGAAACCAGGACACCAAGTGGATTTTATATAGGGGCTTTTCTCTCAGAAAGTAGCACCAAGACCTAACTTGGAATGTATTAATTCAATTGTTCTCCCACCAGCTCAGCCAGCACGGGCGCCCAAGCGGGGCATGTGCATGAATTTCAAGGTATGAATTTGTTTCCCATCTAAATCCGGCAAGCTTGTGGAAAACAAAATGCGTGGCGGCAGAACCGAAGAACACTCGCCGAACATTGGTCGAACATTCGCCGAACTTAGACGTCTCAGCTACATCGCAGCGCAAACTAAGTGCAGATTTCGCAGGCTATCACTTTCAAGGCTTCGCTAGCCTAGAAAGAAGGAACGTGTCTTGGTCTGTTTGTTTTAGGTCCAGGTTTTGTTGGGTTGGCTCGGCGACGGCAAAAAAAACAAACGAAGGAAAGAGCAACACTAAGCTCAAAGGAGTCTCTCAACATGTTTCATGTCTGCCGATAACAGTCTATATTCGTCGCACACGGCGGCAATGCAAAATACATCTGTCAGAACTGAAACAATAGAAGGTGGCACTAGAAGACTCTAGGAGTGTCAACTCTCAGGGAAAAGAATTTCTTTGTGAGAACTGACACGTTTAAGTAAGTCGCAAAGTCAGCGCGAGCTGAAAGGGCAGCTGTACCTCTATGCTCGACCACACGCTCGTTGCCTGGAACTCACACATCAAAGCTGTGGGCTAAATGATCGGCGGCGCTGGGCCGCTAGGCGCTGTCAACCACAGAAATTCACACCCGAAAAGGCGCACACCAACCTAGAACCAGCACGCAGCACAAGTTGTCTTTTTCACCTAGCTAGCACAATCGCTGCGTCACCCCCGCAGCTGAACATCCCATGTCAGGAAGTCCGCTGGACTTCGCTCAAGCGAGAGAACAGTCTCTCCACATTCAGCAAATGGCTAGTCTTGCCTCCTTCCACCTGAACTCTCTCCAGGTGTGGCTGCGAAACTATTTGGTACGAAAGTCGTGGAAAAGCTGGCTTTGCTGGGAACTCTTCTAAGTGTGCATGCAGGCGCTGGCGAGCATTTGCGCCAGCGAATGAAGACACTGCATCAAGCAACACCGTCTGCAACTCTGGGTGGGCAATGGCAAAAGACTCGTGCAAGTACAGGTGAAGGTGGAACTGCAAAGCCGGGGAGAATGCAATGCAGGTACCACCTTTTGTCTTAGTCATGCACCATTGCTTGTCTGCAAGTCGCTTTCCCCACAAACGTGCCAGCAGGCTGCCAGCAGCAAAAAAATCCGAGCGAATGTCTTCACACAGCACTACATCCGAGGCGGCAACTTTGGTCGAGCGAGAGAAGCGCCTCCAGTGCGGAACGCGCACTGCTTCATTTGCCGGAAAGATTTGGATGGACTCTGGCAAGGGCTTGGCTAAACTAGCAGTAGGTGCTGGGGCAGGCAATTTGTATAGAAAAACACCACCTTTCGGGTCCACATACGGCACACAGCCGCCGGGAGGCGTGGTCTTTGCTACGGCCACCTGCTTTTCAGCCACATGATCTTGAGCTCTCGAAATTTCAGCGAGGGGGCCGCTTGGCAACAGCCCTTTGCGGTCAGAAGATGAACCTGGTACGCTGTCTTCTGCTGAGCGAAGTCGTTTGCCACTGCCTGCCTCACAGCGGGCTAAAGCAACTTCTTTCACAGCAGCAACCATGGGCTGCCAAGAAAGCGCGGATGCAGCAGAGGTGGCCTCCTGTACAACATTTTTGACGGCAGCTGCATGGCTCTTCAGCTCCCCCTGCAAGGTCCTTTTCCTGCTGTCATGGGTTTGCAAGTTGCCCAGCTTCGGCTTCTCTGACGATCGGTCTGCGGAGCCTTCAAGCTTTCGGCTGGGAGCAGGTTTTTCTCCAAAGAAATCCTTGTAGACTTGCTGAGCTCTCAACCCATAGCGACTAGCTTTGAAAAGAACCCCACCACCAACACGACTAGCCGAAGAAACAGGCCTGTCAACAAGGTCATCTGGCTGAAATGCCATCCCAACACGTCTCCCCCTCAAACTCTGCAAGTTCAATTTGATAGCTCGTTCTAAATTCCAATTGCAGAGATGCTGAGCTCTCTTCTTGAGCTCCGTTTGAGCAACTTCGCCAAGCCAGCGCTCCACTGTAGCTGTGCCACACTGCAGGCACAAAGCTTTTTCAATGACCTGCACTGCTAGCTGTCGACTTTGCCTAGCTTCCTTCCTCAATTCCGCCAAGGTTTGCACCCAGGCAACCCCGCTTTTCGACTCGAAAGGGCCTCTTTCAGACACTTTGCGGCGCTTGCCTGCTGACGAAGGAGCTGAAGCTGGATTCTCCAAGAACCACCAAGCGCGAGCGAACAAGCCAACTTTGGCACCATCTTCCCCTTGCGAGCCCGCCAGCTGCCTCCTAGGTGTGACAAGTAGCAACGGCTGTGGTCCAACCTACCTTAATTCTCTCAAACTAGATTTACGTCGCAGGCGGGCGAGTGGCCTTTAAAGACATCTGTTTCAAAGCGGCTGCTTTGAAGTCTTTTTTTCCGGAAAAACGCCAAAATTTGCTGACACAGTCAAGACACCACAGCTCGTCTTTGGGAATGCCTTCCTGCACAGCTAGAGCGTGAACGAGAGTCTTCCTTTGGCTCCAGCTGAGCTCGGCTTCTAAATCTAAGGCAGCAAAGCTGTTGGTGTGCTCGTGGTCCGGGAACTGCGTTTTGAAAAATTTGGCGGCTAAATCATGGATGGCTAGGCTATGGCTCTCCAAATCAGCTCGGTGGGGCTTCGCAAAATGCTCCAGCCACCTGCCGGGATCCTTCCCAATAGTGAAGCACACCCGTATCCTGCATGATCTGCAAGGCTTTTTGAGTGAGCGTATCTTTGCCAGCCGCTGCCAGAACGCCGTGCTTCAGAAACATCACGCGCATTGTGTGGACAGCTTCCAACACCTGCTCGGGATGGCAAAAATCTGACAAACTCGCGCGGCCAAAAACATAAGGCGTATTCGACAAAACCCGCCTCCTGCGCTTTAATGATGACAGGCGAGTCAGCCGCATCATCCATGCGCAAGAATTTTTGGAGAATGAGCATGGCATCACCCATCTCTGATCGTCAGCGTCGCCAAGCTGAGTGAGCTTGGAAAGGAAACGGAGGATGGAAGGCAAAAGGGCAACGATTTTGATTAGGGGAGCAGAAAGAGAATCGAACCTCTGGGCGGCAAAGCTGAAATTCTTCACGGTCTTGAAGAAACCTTGACCTTCCTCGAGCTGAGCTTTCTGGAACAAGCCGCTGTATTTGCTGGAATTCCTGAGTCAATGTCAGTCAATGTCTGCAAGGGCACCACGCCACTAAGTATTCACAATTACCCAGCACCAACCAAGAAAACCGCTTTTAACCCTGGGCAACCGTCAAACTGTTTAATTGCAAGACACGCGTTGGAAAAATTGTCTGAAGTGAGTTCAAGTCGCTTTAACATCCTCGACAGCGATTGCTGGTCAGTGGTGAACAAGCCCAAGAGACCACCGCACATCTGACTCATCGGCTCCCACAAGGCCTTCATGATTCCCCTTGTTCTGTGGCAGCGATCCCGTGAGATGATGTTGACTCTCGGGAGCAGCTCTTGCTTCAAGGTGGTCAAAGCAGACTGTTCGGCAGGGCCCCCGTCGGCCACAGCAGCCTGTATTGTGGCGCAAACATGGTCCAGCAAATCCTGACCCAACTGATCAAGTGGCCCAGTCCCTGAGTCTGCCGATCTCTGTCCGACTCGCTTCGTACAGGCTGCGCGGATGATCTGCTTCACTGCTTCGGCCGAAGCATTCGGTTCAGGAGCTTCCCGGACTACCCCGAGCAAGTGCTCGTACACCCCCGTGGAAGGAAGCCAAGGATTATTCTGCAGATTCCGGTAGAACCAACGTGCGGACACCAACATGAGGTTGTCACGAACATCTAGAGCAATGGAGCCTGCAGTTGCCTTAGCTGTGGTCCTACTGCAGCCCTGCCAAAAAAGACCCTGCCCAAAAAAGAACGGCTTCCAAAACCGAAATCTACTCGATCATTGTCAGGGAACCTTTCGCATCACTAAGGCGTCTTGCTCGTACAAAGTCTCGGCCAGACAATAAATCAACTGGCGGCAAACCCGCCGGGACATGTCAGCGCCGCTTTGGGGCAAAGAAGACGTCAAGGCGACTGAGCGCACATAGGCAGCAAAATCAGCGTGAGAATCATGCCGCGAAACAACAGTGCCTGCTAGGTGGAATTTCTCAATCCGTGGGACACTGTCTCCAAGACCAGACACTACACCTGAAGGTTGGGCTGCTTCGCCTGTCAAGCTGGCAGACATCTTGGTAAAAGCCAAAATATGGGAAGTGGACTTAGAGTGCTTGCTGAAGGCAGAAATTCCCAAACTCTCTCGCGAAGTCAGCTCCAAACGAGAAAATGTAGACCCAAACTTGTCGGGCTTGAACTCGCTGCAAACCCAACAGCCAACACCCCACCTTCCCCAACTGAGCGGGGTTACTGCTAGCCAAGACCGCCTTCCACAGGCAGGGTGCTCGAAAGAAAACTTCTCGGACCAAGCTTTGGCTGGGTCTTTGTTCCCTCCTCTGCCACCACGCCGGAGTTCTCCAGCAAAGCCCCTCTCGAAGAAACAGCGGCCGCAATCTGGCTTGTCTCTGCAGGCAGCCCAATGAGTCTGGTCGTTTTCGTACGGGTGGCCAGGCCTCTTGTTGAGAAAAGACACAACTTAAGACAAGGGAATCAAGAATGGACCATTCGAACGCTCACAACCCAAAATCGCAAAAAGTAATTGGATTTTTGCAGGAAAGCTGCCCCGCACTGCGCCAAGTCTTGCAAAGCGCTGTCCCCCAGATCCTCCGCCATGCGTCTGCGAGCTTGGGAGAAAATCTGAAGAAACACCAAACGTCCCTGGCAAAAATCAAATGGTCATGCCGCTGCTTTTTGTCCGGAAACTGTTTGACCCCTGCTTTGAGCCCCAGCCCTGCTGGAAAGCGAAGAGAAGAGATTTGAAGATTATTGAAGGCGAGCTAAAAGACCTCAGGCAACATATGGGCACATCGCCTTACGCGTCAGCGATGTTGCTATCAAAGCGATCGCTTTGAAAAATGACTTGCCAAATTGCGGGCTGCATTGCTATCAAAGCGCTCGCTTTGAACATGACACACAAAATTCAGGCGCCACCAGCAGTCCTTTTTCCTGGCTGGTGGGGCTATTTCCGGGTGGCCTAGTATGGTGCTATTTAGCGACAGCTCCTACGACTCGTCTTCACTCTGGTCAGTGTCGGACGAGGCAGCCCCGGACGGAGAAGCAGCCGGTTTGGCTTCCACCGTGGCAGCTTGTTTGGGCTCGCGCGGCTCAGGCTTTGAAAGCGCCCGCTTTGACAAGAACAATTTACATCTATTTACACGAAGTCCGGCATTTCTTTCGAGTAACGGAGCGTGGCGTCATCGACCAACTGCTGAAACTTCAAATCGTCAGGGTTCCGGTTGAAAGTATCCCGGACCAAATTTGGCATGGTACGGCGCAGATGCGGGAAGAAACTCAGCCGGTCCAATCCAGGTAGAGGCTCAGCAGCCTCCGCAGGTTCGTCTTGGACAAGAGGCATCTCCTATCAAAAACCGGCGTTAGGGGTCTGGTGTTTGGCTCAAGGCATGGGGCCTGGTGAAATGAGATCTGGAGAGATTTGAACTGTTTTGACCCACCCTTCCTCATCTTTAACTTCTTCCGCTGCTTCAGCATCAGCCTCCTCATGAGTTCGAGGCTCTTCCACGGAGCGCTGGCCGGGACAGTCGCTGCCCTTTCCTTGCTTCCCTCCACCATTTGCTCCTCCAAGCCCGCAGGTACTTGGCGCCAGCTGAACATGTTCTTGGCACTGTCCCCGTCTGTCATGCCCAGATGCCCCCGTCTGCCATCCCCAGATGACAGCCGCAAGGAAAATTGGTTCCTGCATGTTATAGAGACTATGAGGGACTTTTAAATAGGGTGGTTGGATTAAACATCTTTATCTTGAAATGGAACTATTTGCAAATACTTGGACATGCAGGCTTGAGTCGAGCTGCCGCGGTCTCAAAAAGCAACCTCAAGAAAGCATCACGCAGAACGCACCTACTCAACCTCAGCATGACAGGATAGAAATGAAACAGAGGTGTGGCTCTGACCGCGACACTTTGATCTCTTGGCAAGATGCGCTCGTGGAGAAAACAAAATCCGCCTCGGGGTGTGGCGAGGTTGCCATCAGGCTCAACGAATCTAATCTACGAAAAGCAGCAGCTCACTCCTCATCTTCTTTCTCACTGTCGGTCAAAACTTCTCCATCACCGGTTGGATCAGCCTGTTGGCCTGCGCTCGTGGAAGTCTCGAGATCAGGGCCACCAGGAGTCTGCGTGCTCTGGGTCTCGGCGCCCAAAGATGCAGCACGTGACAAGACACGGATCTTCCGGCCGGGGAATCCGTTATGAGGCTTGCCAGAGAGGATGTCAACTGACTGCGCCAAGACAACCTTGCATGCATACGCTGGGCTTGGATAGTTTTGACAAAGCTTCGGAGAAAAGACATGAAAAGACTGAGGACACGGCCGTTTCCAGAACAAGGTCGCTTTGAAGCTGCTTGTGGGAAAAGCCGATGTACTTGAGGCCGTGACGAGCAGCTGCCACTGCAGCCATGCCAGAGCCAACGCTCAAGTCCACAACTAACATCTTTTTCGTCTCATCTGGCCCAAAGCAATGGAAGAGCTCTGCGTAGATCTCCTCACAAGGCTCCCATGGACACAGGCAAACAACGGCACTGGCATCCTTCTCCTCCTCTTCGTCCTCACCAGACTCCAAGGCATCTGCCGGATCTGCCATGTCTTTCGTGCTTCCCCCTACCCCAGCAAAAATGAGGCTCTTGCTCTGAGAAGTGATGCCATTCAGCTGCTGATCCTCGAGCTTTCTCAAGGATAGATTTGGCCAGCCTTTTGAGTTGTTATCACCTGGCAAATCTACACAAATGCGCTGCCGAAGTGGCAGACACGAAAGCCTCTCTGCGCCTGCAGCCAAAAACACCGTCTCCAAAGGGTCAGGAAGAGTGGCACTGAAAACTGTTTTGCCTTTGCGGGCCCGCGCCCATCCGCTTTGACTGAACTCCCTATTGTGATGCATCAAGCGCAAAGGAACGGCCGAGCGGGAGGGCAAAAGCTTTGCAGCAAAGCCAGGTTTCAATACATGCTTGGTAATGAGGCCTTGTGTCCGGACGCTGCGGCCATCGAACATAGCCAGCATGTCCAACTGCGGACGAAACAAGCCATTCTCAAAAAGACATGCGCCCAATGTCTTGTACATCTTGGCGTCGCCATGCGCCAGCCGACGAAGGCCGTCACTCTTGGAGCTGGCTTTGGGGTCCACCACAAAGAACATCGAATACTCTTTGCCATAGGTGTTGTAGAGCTCCTGGAGTTGCTCCCGCAAGTCGGTGCGAACTTTAAGCTCCAAGCGCTCAGCACCTGGTATTGGACAGTTCCTGGCTCCCTGATTTTTTAAAAAAACAGGGAGTCAGGAATCAAGGTTTGACATGGAGGACCTATAGTGATTCAAGAGATATTAAAGCAATTTAAAGCACGTGGGGAGCCATGGTGTAATCCCTGACTCCCTGATTTTTGAAAAAAAGCAGGGAGTCAGGGTTTAAGGCTTGCGCACGGGAAGAATCGGTTTTGTGCAATGATGTCCGTTCGCTGACAAACGACATGATGCGCAAGAACTGCTACTTTGGCAAAATGTTTTCCTCTTGCTCGTGCGAATCTGCTGCTGGGACTGTGCAAAATGTCCACACAGCTTGGCAACTACAAGAAAATCTCCTTGACCTACGGAATATTGCGCTTGGCAGCCAAATGCCCAAGCTCCAGCAAAAGGGGAATCAAGGCCACACAAAGCGTTGTGGCGGACATCGAATTTCCTATCAAGCTATGGGCTTGCAAAGTCGTCAGCCCGGAAAAATTATAGTTTGACAGGCCGTGGGCGGCCACAAGCTCTTCCGGCAGCAGCTCCCTGTGCACACTGTCAGCGAATGACCAAATGCGGCTGCTGGTGCAAAGTGTGGGCAAGAAGCCTTCCAAGCACACAGGTCCCCGGTTTGCAGATTGAGAAACCTCAGACGCCCAAGAGAACTGTGTTTTCTTGAGAATCTAAATGTCTCCCTACAATCAGCGTTTATCTATTGCCTCCATACAAAAGAAGGTATGCTGACAAGGAGCATCTGCCAGCGGGTGTGGGCTCACAATTTCTGGGCCAGTTTCGTTCAACAACTTCTGTGTGACTGCGGCGTAAATGTCCAATTGGGCTTTCATCCATGGAGAGCAACTTGGAAAGTGGCTCGACTCCCGAGCTGATGGCAAAATTTCATTCTCACTGAGCGGACCTTTGACCCTTGTGGCTGCCTTCTTCCGAGCTTTTGCCAAAGCAACAGCATAGGCAGCACGGGCCTCATCCTTCTCCAGCTCAGTCATCGCAATGTCCCCTTCAGACTTGATGAAGAAAGGGCTTCTGTCCGGATAGGGAAGAAAGAAACCCTGGACATGGTGCCACGGCTGCTTGGAGCAAAAATTCTTCAAGATCTGAACGTTGGATTCAATGCGAGAGAGAGACCCCTGCCCCAATCTGCTGCCAAAAAAGTACACACGTGGCCGAACATCTGGCAAGCAAGCGCTGTCTAACTCAAAGTGGGCCCAGGTGTACCCCTCAATGGTTTGGAGCTTCTCCATGACGACAGAGAGCACGCTTTCTTTTCCAGCCTGCCTCGGCAATTTGATACCGCAAACATTCTCCAGCAGCACGCAGGCAGGTCGAAACCGGTGAACAAATTGGTGGCAGTGGAGGAAGCTATCCCAGTGCTTGGTCTCGCATGGGTCCACAGCCGACCGGGAGGGGTTTTGACGGCTATTGCTTTTGCAGGAGAAGCCACCACAATAGAGGTCAAATTCAATGTTTGGGATCTTGCACTTGTTTCCGTGCACATAGCAGAAGCTTTGCCCATCTGGACGGAGTTCCGATGCATTCCAAAAGATATGTTGGGGCTTGGCATTTGAGTTCAGCGCAAAGGCCGCGGCTGGATCCAGCTCACAAGCCACTTCCATGATTGAGCCTGTGTCTCCTGCAGCTCACGTCAACCAATGAGCTGTTTCTAGTGGAACCGCTGTCATGTCACTGTGTTTCTGACAACCCATCCTAGAATGTGCTTGGCGACGATGGAAGGCATGCCGCTCCTGGGCGCGAACAACCGGAAACTGTGAAATTGACAATCGGGCACGGTCGGCTTTTGTGCGAACAAGTGGCCCAGAATGAGTGGTTGCCAGGCGCAATGGCTTCAGGCTTGTTGGGATCATCACATCCAGCGCTTGGAGCAAAGCCACAATGAACTTTCTCAAACAAAACTTCTCCAAAACAACAGGCCACGACTGCTTGTTGGGTTTAGCCTTGGCTTTGGGTGTCTTGGCAGTCGGCATCTTGATGACCTGCCTCTTAGGCGCCATTCGAAAAGCAACTCGCGGCGTGCGAAGCAAGACGGGCCGGCAAAATAGTTCCACTCGCAACCCCTGTGTTAGAACAATTGAGCCACCACAGCAAGAAGTGGGCTTAAGATTAACATGCAATGGGTGACTGGCCACGCACATGGTCTAAGGCCTGCACATAGCTTGGCATGTTGAAGAGTGTTCTCGAAAGTTGGCAAAGAAACTTTCTTGAAAAGGTCCTCCGCCCAGGATGGCACTTGAGCCACCTCAAAAAAAGACTTGCGCGGTGTCTCCGATTTAGAAGGCTCCGGCGCAATCTCCTCACGCACTCCCTCCGGGACTTCGTCCTTAACCTCAGCTGACTCCTTGTCCGGGTCTGGCACAGAAATTGCTGCATCAACTTCGGCTTTCTGGGCCTCTCGCGATGCCTTTTCAGCCAGCTCATCCGATTCCTTGAGCAATTTCATCGAGGTCTAGCAGCTGGTTTTCAACCCAGCCTGGCTTGCGGAGAATGATTTCAGCAGGCTGCAGCCAGTTTTCTTCAATGGCTTCACGCACTAGCTCATGGATGATGACCTGCCCCTCCAAGGCTTGTCTACAAAATGCTGCGGCTTCCATCTCTGCCGCAGTACATTTCTCAAGAAAGGGCTTCCGTGCAGCTTCATCGGCATTGTACTTGAAAAAATTCTCGTATGTGCCAAAGTAATCACAAAGCCTCACCTTGGCCCCTTTCTTTTGCGCGACCTTGTTGGACAGGTACTTCACAACGCGCCGTAAGGCGAGCTCAGTCTGCAATTGGCTAGCGACAGTTTCCTCAGCGCTGCTTTCAGTGCGTGGCCCAAGTCATGCATGAGTTCTGGGAAGATTTTTCCAACATATAAATTAAACATAGATATATTCAACAAATTTCAGAAGGCGTACATTTAGCCAAATGTCTCTGGTTGCATTCGGTGGCAAGTGTGTGTGGCGGCCATCATTCTCACGGAGAGCACGGTAGCAAACCGATTGCACAACCCAACAAAGCAAACAATTCTGCAGAAGCTCGTTCTTTGGACAGGCTGTTTTCTCACAAAGTACTGCCAAAACACTGGTGTTGCTCATGAAATGCTCCGCACCAAAGCGCGAATCCATTTGCTCGATGCTCTCCAAACAGGGAGAGCCAGCGGCAACCATCCGATCGTGCACCCTCAAGAGATTGCTCAAATTCTTCGCGCTCACCTGCACATTGGCCGTGTGCTGCCATGCAGAAATGGCCTCAGCATTGTGAGGCAGCATTTGCGCCTTCAACGACTCACGGATCTCGGCATATCCCAGGATTCGCTTGAATCCTCTCAGGGTTTGCGCTCCGGCAATGTTCTGGGTCTGCTGCTCCAAAGACCATTTCTTTTTGGCGGCATCATCTGCTGAGTCAACGGCATGAAACGTGACCCTGACACGCCGGAGAGCATTCCGACACTTGGAAATCTCTGGTGCATTCTTTGCCTCGATCTGGTCGGCAAAATACTTGAGGAAACCAAACCAAAGAGCTTCATTTGCCAAGGTTGTGACATTTCCCTTCCGAGGTTTGCCAGAGATGACTTGCACATCCACAGGTTGCGGCCACTGAAGCACATGAGACGCCTGAGACCTTTGGCAAAAATCAGCGGCCATTCTTTGAATTTGGCCCACACTTGGGGGAAAAGTGTGTGCATAGCAATGGTGCTTGAAAAAGTCTCCCTGAATGGTGCATTCGTACCGTCCTGCGTTCTTGCAACAGGCAACAAATTCCTCAGCATCGTAAGCCGAAATGCCACCAAAGCTGATGCCCTCCTCTATGGATTTCAAGAAGGGGTCAACTGCCTTGTACACGTCCTGAAGCAAAACACAGGAATTAAATTCAAACTGGGATGGATTTCAATCAAGGCTGAGGTGTCCTGCATCATCATAACGGTAGGATGGGAGGGCGTGCTGGCATCAGGCCCTTTCCCCACAAAGCGTTTGTTCGGCGATGTCAAGGAGGTATCCCCTGCTCTTTTGGTGGGCGGCATGCTCGAGACAAACCCTGGAAGCGATCAAGGCTTGAGCCTGGCTAGAAACTCAGCTGAAAAACTCATCTGGACCAATGCGGTTTCCCAAAAGCATTGCAAGTGAAGAGGACTGCATCTGCCATCACGCTAGGCATTTTTCTCCAAAAGTTACTTGCTAGATTGTTTCTGAAGCCCTTTAGCCCAAGACGGACAATGCGGCCAGCCACACAGCTAAAAAGACGGGCATCGTGGTTGCTGTGGCCTCAGAAAGCAAAAGGCACCGGCTTGAATGTCTGGTTTTCAGGGGTGGTCCAAGCAAAGTGGCACCAATCTTACCTTGAGGTTGCGGCCAGGGCTTGAGCTTGGTTCTTCTCCGTCAAAAACGATGTGCAAATAGATTTCCGTGGAAATCCATAAGCGCACAGAATCTCTTGCGACAAAAGCCACCGAAGTGAAAAGCGTTTCTGTCCCCCAAACCCTTTGCCGACCATGATCGGCGACGAAGGTTTCAGCTGTGGCAAACACGGCTGAGGCTGGCATGTGGGAAGGGTTCCTGCATCTAGGAAAAGAAGTTGCTGCTCGCGCGTTTCCTCGCAAAAATGTTCTCCAAACAAAGCTGCAGCTGCGAGGGCAGCCATGGGTTTGTGAGCCTTGCTCAATAGTGAGTCTATGTTGTCTGGAAAATAGGCGGTTTCTTGCTTCCATGTGCTCGGCAACAATTTACCAACCATGCGACTGCACCCGTCAATGCCAGATTCCGACAAAGCGACTCTTGCCTCTGAGGGAGGGTCGTAGGTTCGCTTGCGGTCTGCCTGCCAAGAAAAGGGTGAATGATTTTTTGACAATTCCTGACTCCCTGATTTTTTTAAAAAATCGGGGAGTCAGGATTTAAGGTTTTGACTCACGTGAACATATTAAATGGCATTTAGTAACTTAGTAGTTCATGGCAATTCTTGACGGCCTGATTTTGAACTTAGCACATGGAAAGCATTTGGGACTGACTGCTGAAATCAAATCTGGCCAGGCCTGTGTGAAGACAAACCAATGTGGCTTGCCAGTGTGCTGCTGCACTTGCTCCAAAATACGAGAAACCAAACTCGAAATTTTATGGCTTTGTTCTCGCTTTTCGGTCGGCATCAGCACAAGCCAACGCTTTGAATTGCCAATGGCCACATGCTGGATGGGGAAAAATGGCAAGGTTGACACAGCATATATAACCCTCAACAGCAACTCGTTGGTGATATCGTCCACCAGCCCGCACTCCACCAAGGCAAACCTGGCGCGGTCAACAAGCAAGAACCTTACATAGCATGGATGCTCTACCCGCCTAGGCTTGAAAGCTTTCAAGTGTTGACCAATCTTTTCCAGAATCGCCTCGGTGCCTGATTTTGGCCCTGCCAAATGAAACAGTGCAGCGGTGATGTCTCCAGGAATTTTGCAAGATTTGTGGCAAAGCAGGCAATGTGAATGGCTCCTATCGCCCTCCAGAAGGTTCACATACGAATGGCAATTGCCTGGCTGACTGGAGCCTGCGCAAACTCTGGTTAACTCTGCGCTGGCTTGGGTTTCATCAAAGTAGGCAAAAGGCACAAGGTCAGAGCTGCGAACTGCCATGAACGGAGAAAAGCTTTTCAGATTGAAGCCGATCACATTGGCCGCGTCCTGCCCATCACAAAGGAAAATCAAAGACACTAAAAAGAACCATGAGCTGAATGTCCTGCACGGGCGGCCATTCGAACACCTTCTTAGCGCTTTCCAAGGTCAGGGCCACAAGATCCATGCTGCGTGGCAAATAGTGAAGACTTCACGCTTTGAGCTTGGCAAGTCTGCAAGAATCAGTTGGGCGAAGAAGCGAAAAAAACCACTCGCAGAAATCAAACGCACAACTGCGATACCTAAATTTAACTTCGGTTGTGCGTTGACCCCCAGGGGTCAACGCACAACATATCCAGGAACGGCTTGCAAGCTTCAAGTTTCTTCAAACGCACAACTCTGTTAGCAAGCAGGTTTTCGTCTACGTGGCTGATTCGTGGATATGTTGTGCGTCGACCCCGGGGGGTCAACGCACAAGCAAAGGCACACCTTTTTAACTTGCTTGTGCGCTTGGTTTTTGCGGAGTCCCTGGGGTCAACGCGCAAGCCCGGGGGTCAACGCAGAATCAAAGGCATTCGAAATGATGAACAAGCATTCGGACTTCTTCTTGCCGTCTGACACCATCGCCCATCAACTCAAAAACAATTTCACCAGGCTTCCTCACGGATCACGCAGACTTGCTTGCAAACCACAAACACCTTGGCACGCACACTGCACGTGCGCTACCCCGCAAAATGCCTAGAACCACAGTGCATAAGAGTTGGAATGCAAAACAACAAAAGGACTGAGCAGATCTTGGACCACTGCAAATGAACAAAACAAATTCGGAACCAACTCAGATTTTTAGCTCAGTGCTCAACCACTCAAAGTGGAATGAGAGCTGCTCTGGACCTGGACTGCCTGAGCATTCTTCTGCGCAGGTCGATCCTTCACGCCAGGCGAGACTGAGACTGTCGGTGGAAAGCAAAAACCAACACGCGGGTCCTTTGTCTTGAACATCTGAAGCTGATTTCACAGGCACACACAACCAAACGAACAACACAAACTTTCCTTGACGCTCTTGCTTTCTTCTGAGGAAGACATGCGTCAAAATCGTGCAGCTTTCAGCTTTTGAGAAAGCTTAACGGCAGAAAGTCTGGCCGTGTTCACACAGACCGTGGTCCGAACATGGCATTGCTGGCGCTCGCCCACAACATGAGAAGAAACTTGCTTGGAAACATACTCCTCAAGTTGCCTGATGGTTGCCCAAGGCAACTCTGGGTAGGGGAAAAGCACATGGCCACCACTCCAAATCTCAAACGCCACGCAACCATAAGCCCACATATCCATACACAATCTTAGGGGAACGGGACCATGGCCTTTCCGGTGATATTCAAAAAGTTCCCAGCAACGATAGTGTCTGGTGTAAACTTCATTCGGTTTGACGCTGGCGCCTGCTCTCTCTGCTAAACCAAAATCACTTACTACCGCACGACAGGGACATGCGTTAAACAATATGTTTCCAGGCTTCAAGTCAGCATGGACAATGTCCCGTGATGCCAGATGCATCAGAGCCTGCAGAAGCCTCAGGAGAGCTGGGGAGACGGCACTCAAACACAATGCGCTTTGCAAACATGCTTTGCAAACACAACGCTGAGGTCTGCGCTGGAAACATAGCTGTGTGCGGAGCTGAGGATTGGGAGAACCTCCCTGCTCTTTGAGAAAAGCGGACAAGCTCTGTGGCATGAGCTCCAACAGCAATCCATGTCTGCTACCGTCACTATAGAACCCATGGGCCATGACTACATTATGGCAAGCCCCTTTAGCATGTACTTGTCGGATCAAATCATGTTCTTTCATCAGCTCGAACTTTCCATTTTCCTTGGCAAGCTTCAAGGCAAACCGTTGACCGCTGTTTGTTGCTGAAACGGCAAAGACCTGGCCATACGTGCCTTCTGCCAGAAGATCGGAACTACTCCAAGTCAACACTTCATGGGAGGGGTCATTTGTGGGAGGTTGTGGCGGCGCCCACAAAAAGTATCCCGCAACCACGGTGTGGCTCTTCTTTGCTTCGCTCAAGCATGGCAAGAAGTCTTTGTTTGCTACAGCTGCCTGGACTCTGAGAGACATGTTCTTTGCTAGATCTGAAAAAGGCTTCTTCTCATCATGGTTCAGGCTTCTCCTGAGCATAAAAAAGGTCAACATTTCTGGCGTTGATTCATGGATTGCAGAAGACTGCAAAGCCGGAATTGAGGACGGGGCCATTTGTCTGCCATGGCCGCTTTGCTTCGGACAGGGGTCTTTTGCAACAAACGTTGTCGGAGAGGAAGCGAAACACCATTCTTTCGAATGTGACTGCAAAACACCGCGTAGCTGGATGGGGCTTTCTTCACGCCAAGTGAACGATATGAGGTTCTGCCCATTAAGCGAAGGCCCGATCGAAAGGCACTAAAGAGGAACAACTAAAGCCAGGCTGCACACATAACGTGTTGGGAAGTCAATGGGAAATCATGCTCTAAAGCAATCATGAAAGGAAAATCTACAGCAAATGGCTGGAAGTCGCAAAGGCGAGCCTCCCGAGGCACCTCCAGCAGCCCGCCCGAAATCCACCGCCTGCCGAAAACAAGCGACTGCTTGACATTATATATATATAGTATATGTTATTTGCACTTTAGTGATTTGAATGCACCAGCGGAAAGAATTCTGAACCTTTGATAAATACCGACTGAACCCTAGTTGTGCTAAATGGATCTGACTCTGGCCCGAAGCAATTCCCACAAGCGGAAGTTTCAGCCTTCTGTCTATTCAGACCTTCGATTCATAGCGGGCCGTGTCCATCAAACAAAGTGACTCGGCCCAGGATGCTTCACCTGCTCTCAACAAAAGTCTCAGGATCTCCAAACGCTATCTTTCTTGCTCTCCAAACGCGTGCTCAATCAAGAAGTTGGTGCCACCTATAAAACAACCAACTTGCCCGGCATCTACGCGTTGCCATTTCAAGACTGGCTCCAGAAATCTTTGCGGCCCTCAAAAGAACTGTGGCTCAAACACGGCATTGCTGGAGCTTTCCGGCAACCAGACACCTGTCAGGAATGGCGGGGCGGACGGCTGCCTAAAACAGCTATGGGTGGTGGGCCACTACTCCAAAATCTCACAGACCACGCTGTTTTTAGCTGCCCATACACAACCATAGTGGAGCAAGTCTATGTCCCTTCCTGTGATGTAGAAGCCCTTCTGAGCCATGGACATGCCTTGTGTGGACTTCATTCGGTTTTACGGGTGGCATCAATTCGCGGTTTAACCGGTGGCATCAGTGCGACGCCTGCTCTCTCTACTGTAGCCGGCAAGACCAGACCAACTAACACGGCCCGACAGAGACCCGCAAGAATAATGATCTTGGCCTCTCGGCCTTGAAGACAGCCCAAAGCTTGCAAAAGCCTCAAGACACTGCAACAAAATCGCAGCATGATTCTGTTCAGGCCAAGGCTCCTCACACATGACCTGCAAACACAATGCTGAGCCCTGCACAACTGGAAGCAAAGCCGCGCGTGGAGGTGAGCGTTGGAAGACTGTTTGGCTTTTCAGTCCGCCTGCTTCTGTCGCTATAGAACCCATGACTACATTATGGCAAGCCCCTTGAGCGTGTACTTAGTACTTGTTGTTCTTAACTCGAACGTTCCGTTTTCCTGGCGTGTTTCAAGGCAAACCGTTGACCGCTGTTTTTGGCTGAAGCGGCAAAAACCTGGCCACGCGCACTTTCTGCCAGAAGATCGGAACTACTCCAAGTCAACACTCGTGGGGAAGGGGTCATTCGTGGGAGGTTGCGGCGGCGCCCACAAAAGTATCCCGCAACCACACTGTGGTTCTTCTTTGCTTCGCTCAAGCATGGCAAAAAGTCTTTTTGCTACAGCTGCCTGGACTCTGAGAGACATGTTCCTTGCTAGATTCCTAGATCTGCAAAAGGCTTCTTGTCATCATGGTTCAGGCTTCTCCTGAGTGAAATAGGGTCAACATTTCGAGTGTTAATGAATTAGTGGGTTGCAGAAGACAGGAAAACGGAAATGAAGACGTGGTCATCCGTCTGCCATGGCCGCTTTGCTTTGGACAGGTTTCTTTTGTTGTTGTCAGGCGAGAACCGAAACACCATTGCTTTGCGAAAAAAATATTCTTGTCATGATGGCGGTTCCGCGTCAATTCTGAAATCTGTGGGGATGACAACATATCACACGCAAACCTTTGCTTGGCAAACTCCAGAAGACTTTGGAAGAAAACGAACAAGGACTAAGGCTCTAAGGCATGATTTTGCCATGGCCGCTTTGCTCCTGACCGGCATTCTTGGCAACAAGCGTTGTCGAGAGGCCCGAAACGTGGCTGCAAAACACGTCCCTGGACGGTGCTTTCATCACTACTGAACGGGTCATTACGCGAAAGGCTCGGGTGAGCACGCACTAAAGGCGGCGCAACGCATATTAAAACTAACATCCGGGACTGTGAGGCAACCATGGAAGGTTGAACATATCTACAGGGAAGTGGCAACCGAAGGATCACATGAAGCAATGCAATTCAGGTGTGGAAGAGGCCACCAAAACCTCACGGTTTGTGGAAAACATCTGCTTGTTTACACCTGCTGACCCAATCCGCAAACTATATTATGGCATGCCTCCTGCTGTAGCAAGCAGCAAGCTCAAGCATTTGCTGGCATCCCGGCCCGACACACATAGATTCTCCAGGCTGCCGAAAATATATACTCCCACACGCAAACAGAGGTCTCAGGCTTCTGTCTACTTTCGCCTTCTCCAGGCTGTAGCGCCATCGAAGAAAATGAGTGGGCCCAGGACACTTCACCTGCAAGCATCACAAATTTCCCGGTCTCCAAATGCAATCGTTCTATGTTTAGATATGAAGCTCGAAAGTTGCCACGGAACCCTTGTGTGAAATGGACCCCCCAACAAACAAACTTGCCCGGCATAGGAAAATCGATATGAACACAAATTGCCCAACATAAGCTCAGACCATTGTTGTCTAAGTTCGCCACGCACTAC